GAGGAAGCCAGATGTGGGGTTGCGGGACGGGATTCCGTAAAATGTTGCACGGGATCCCGCCGCGCATGGACTTCTAAAATGACCAAAAAATTTGATTCTTGAAAAAAGAAGTGGGGGAAATGAAATTCAAAATCACCACATTCTTATAAAATTGTTTAAAAATACTTAAAAATAAATAGGTTTTAACCAGATTGAAACGTAAATCAAATAAAATTTAAAAAACAAAAATAGGTAGTTTAATCAAAAGAGCCTATTAACTACAAAAAATTTTTAAAATAATTATATTTCTCTAACAAATCAAAAATAATTTTATTTTCCTCATCCCAACTCCTATTCTTTAATTTTTCTGATTTGAACATGTGCCGCTCCAACTCTAGTCCCTTCTCTAGTTGAAAACGAGAATCTCAGTTTTGGATAATAAATATTGGCAAGTTGGTAACGGGTATATTCAACTCCTCCATCCAACTGTTTAATTTCAACCTTCTCTGCTCCCTCAATTAATTGAAGACTTTTGGAACTACGAAAACTTAAGCTAATGACAGACACTATTTTTGAACATTCCTTGGATGTTGCTATATACTAAAACGTTTTAGGATTTATTTTTAACTTATCCAGGGAAAAACTTACTTCAAAAATATGTTCATAAAGATTTGCTACGTTGATAAAATCCACCACAGTCACCGAAGAATTAACAAAAGCAAACCCAACTTCTTTAAAATTGTCTCCTCCATTCGTTAAAATTTCAAATAAAATATCTCGATATTTTTCTATAATGTCCTGATATAGACGAAGCGAAGAATGAAGATTTCCACATTTCAAATTATTCAGAATAAACTGAAGAGAATTTTCCATATTGTGCTCCATAATATTTACTTGGCATCTTTGAATATGAACACGTTTGGAAGTCCTAGCATTTTCAAATAATAATTGAAGCAGTTCTTGATTGAATACAAATTCGTTAATCTCCCCATATTCAAACCGACAATTAAATAATTTATTTAAATAATAATAAACAATTTTGATATCCTCTTTGCTTTTAATAATGGATGGAAGTTGTACCAAAATATGATGTGCACTTCGGAAAACTAAAAATTCTTTTTAATCAAAAGAAAATTAAAGTAAGTTATTTTTTATTCAATAAAAAAGGGGCCGGGAAAGTTATCAAATAAAAATTGGACCAGAAACATTTCGATGTCCTCCCTTTTATTTCCGAGTACATTCCAAGGTACCGCAAGCCCAAATGTAACGCAGTGCTATAACTGCTCAAAATTCTCAAATCCGGGACGCTCTGGTAAGTTCTCGATTCAGCTCGACAATACGCATCAGCCATACCAAGACGACCCGAATTCTACGATTCTGAACAAAACTATAGCTCTGCGGTACCTTGGCCCACTCTCATTATTCCCTACTACAGACTAAAGCGAACTCGATGAAATTTCATTAAACAAAATCCAACCTTTCGTTACGCAAATAACAAGAGTTTTGCTTGAATCTTGTTTAGGTAAATACACAGGAATTGGTTTTTCAAGTCCATTTTTGAACTAAAAATAAAAGGATTTTTAAAAGAGGTATTTTAAATTACCTTCTCTTCAAGTTGCTCATCATTCAAAGTAAAGTCAAGAGGTCCGCCTTCCAATTTAATTAATTTATGAGGATGCTTGTATTGCTCGAGATATTGCTTAAAAATGATTAAAGATTAGATTAATTATGTAAAGCATATTAGCTATTTAATTCCTAAGGCTGTGCAGTAAGGTAGTCGGATAGTTGGAAATCTTCGAATCCGATATCCGAACCAAAAATTTCCGGATATCCGGAGCCGACAACCTTACTGTGCAGTAGGTGTGGTGTAATAGCTAACACATCAGTCCGGTCTACTGAAGTTGCTGGTCTACACCCAGCCGCCGAATAACCTTTTGCACTAACTAAAGGAGAGAAATAGCTATAGCCCGGCTTCTTTACTATCAAAAAATATTACAATAGAAATTTCATATAATTTCTCCCAAGCAAGTTCTCCTTGAAAATAATTAACGAAATCGTGAAGACAAAAATTGGTCTGTTTGACTGAGCATAATTGTTTATAGTTGAGGAATTTAAAAATATCCAGTTTTGCCTCTGCTGGTAAACAAAGCATTTTTTAAGCTAAGCACTAAAAAATAAGTTTAAAAATTATTTAAAAATCTGTACAGTTTGTTAGTTAATAAACGCAATTTCTTAGTAATAACTAGGGTTTGACCCCGAATCATGAGGTCACGTTTTTCGGTGAGCGTCGGAGGATGACTGACAGAATAACACGTCCTCAGGATTCGGGGTCAAACCCTAGTAATAACAAAAGAATAAACGAGATAAGATAGTAACTAACAAACTGTACTTAATCACGATAGAAATAATAAAATGAAAAATAAGAATAATGGCTAAAAAGTACCTAATATGTTGTTGGAAATAAAATAGAATAACAGAGATAGAATGGCTTTTATACTAAAACTAATACCCAACATAGCTTTTCATTTAAAGATATAGCCATAATATAAAGTGATACTAGGTATGCCAAATTAGGATTTCTTAAATAAAATTTATTCAATTAATCATAATAATGGAATGAAAACATTCAAAAATAAATTTTAATTTCTAAATATGTATTAATTCAGCTTCATCATCCTCCACTAAGTTGTTTACCTGAAAATACTGTTTAAATTACTTTTAATTATTAAATAAATCGCAATTGACACTTGATTGACACTTGGACATCGACATTTAATGTCAATGTCGTTTGGTGGAATAGGCCCCTGAACGAAAACGAAACGAAAATCATAAAAATCCACGAAAAACAACACAAAATTATAGCCCAGCTCTGATACCGGGGCGCTACTTAACCTAACGATCTACCGGATCTAAAGGTTATTAAAATTTTAAATGCAAGCCAGCTGTTCGATGACGACAATAAAGATGAATAATCATGTCATTTTTTCTAATTTTTTTTTGTTTTTTCTTTATGTATGAAAAATTTAATTTACTCATACAAATTTTATTACTCATTAAAATTGAATAAAAAATCTAATTATATAATTCCTCCATTTACTATGTCATTATTATTTTTAAAAGAAAATTGAAAATGAAATATCTAAATTTTAAAATTCTGTTTGTATCCTTGTGATTGAGTGATTATGGTTAGACTTAAACATTATTTCTATCAACTGAGTTAATTTTATTTTTTATATTTTTCCTTACAAAAATAAATAATTTTAAGCCATAAATTTTAATTTTAAAATTGTAATTTCATTTTTAAATATTATTAAACGAAATTTTTTATTTATTTCTTTATTTTAAAATTATCGCCCGTGGCGCTGAAAATGGTCAATTTTGGCTTCTTAGCCATCCAAAATTTTAAAAATTACGGCTTGCTGTGCAAGAAAAGTTAAAATGTTTAATTTTTAGAATTTTCAACTAAAACCGGTCTCATAAGACCAGATCAATCCTGATTTTTCAGTATTCATCTGAGTCAGCTTGATTGATCTGAGTTCGCCTACTAGTCTCAATTGGAAGAGATCGATTTGTTCTCTTTTAGCAAATTTCGGGAAATTTCGGGAAATTTATAGGCCAAAAAGCAACATTTTTTCCATTTTTTCACCGCAGGCAAAAAAATCTGAGAATTTTGGAGGAAAATCAGAATTCAATCAAATTAATTTCTTGTATCTCATGTAAGTTCTCGTAATCAATTTAAATCCTTAATCATTCAAATTCCTCAATATTCCTCCTTATCCTCTGAATACTTATCTTATCCTCCACTCTGATCCTTTATATCGCTATAAATGTTATATGGATATTTTGACATTTTATTGTGAGACAGTATTAATGTTAATTAAAATTTTAGAGAAATTTATTTTTAATTCTTAATTTATATAAAATTTTAATATGCAAAAAATTATATTTTTAATTCTATTTATTAGTATGTTTGTTCTAATTAATATGGAAATAATTGGAGGTACTAAATTATATTTAAAAATTTAAATGTATTTTTAAACCGGGGGCAGTATTCTAAGAGAATGAAGGTTAATCAAGAAATTTCCATCTAAAAACGAAATCATAGAGCAAATGCTCGCAGTTTTTCATTAAAATTTTTTCATTCTGCGCGAGCATTGAAATAAAAAGTGGCGATTAAGATTTTAATATCTACTTCCAGTAAAATAATTTTAACGTCAAAATTTAAATTTTGAATGAAATTGAAATTTACGCCGACATGTACATATGTATATAATAAAACATTTTTTAAAAAAGTAGATGTTGATAAATTGATTTTACGCGGCAAACGATGGTCATGCAATTTAAAATGTAAAGGCGCAGGATATTCCAAAAAAGGTTGAATTATATGTAGAGATAGGATTTTTAGTATAAACTTTTTTTTCCTTAAAAGTTATATTGAGATGTCGTATATTTTTATCAATATTTTCACATATTTGGGCATTTTATAAAACCTATTTAGTATGTATTTAGTTTAAGGCTTTTACAACCTAAAAATTCTATCCTTATTTATTATTAATATGTAAATATAAATTTCTTTTTAGAAAATCGCAAACGCAAAAAAACTAAACGGAGAAGACTTTGGGGTATTGAAAATAATAATATTTAATGTAAATAATAATATATTGTATAATAATTGTAATAAATATTAAAAGCTTATTTTTTTTAATTTTTTGAAAAATATTACTAGTACATCCTTCAAAATTAATAGAATTATTATATTTTTTGTCAAAAACTTTAAAGAGATCATAATAGTATTTAATGTAATAATTAGGGTTCGGATTTGTATTGCAATATAATATTTTTTCCTAAATATATCATGTCGAAAAAAGCCCAAACATGACATTCATTATAATAATTTTGAACAAAGTTACATTTCAATGTATTTCAATATTCGCATATTTTCATAATATTAGCCAAATTTTAATGCAAAAATTAAAAAATCTTATTCATCAACGGCAAAATTGGCCAAAAAATTAAATTGAATGGCGCCCAAAAAATGTCCAACTGAACAAAACCCCATAAAATGTGCTACTGAACAAAAATTCACAGAATGTACCACTAAACCCGCAAGCGTTCCATCCCCTTTTCTGTCATCTCAAAATGTCCAAAATTCTGTTGATAAAGGTGTTAAATTAAAAATAAATTGTTTAACTATTATGTAAATATTCTTTATTTTTCAGTTAATACGCAATGCCATAACTTACTTCAAAATTTTCGAATCCTAACAAATCTAGTATTAAACGATTCCTCTCATTTAGTTAAAGAGATTAAACCAAAATTGATAAGGACCGGAAATTTTCCAGCTAGTTATGGCTTTGCGTTGTTATGGCCGCGCGATGTTTTGTGCTGTACCCTCAGTTAATAATTGGTTTGGAAATAAATTTCAAAGGTAACTTGTAAACGAACAAAACATAAAGTCGGTAAAAAATATTAATTGAATTAATTTTTTAATTAAAATAATAATTATTTTTAAAGGAACATGATAAAAATTAATGATTTTGATTTTCTTCTAGATGATAAAAATAAAAAGAAGAGTGATATTGAAGAAGCTGAAAAGGGGTAAAGTGAAGAAAATGTCTTAAAAAACTTAAAATTGGAATTTTCTAATTTAATTTTTATTATTTTTTGTGACACTTATTTTGAGCGTTATTTCTTTTTTGCATTTTTATATATACTTTGTATTATTTTGTTTCTTTTAAATAATGTTTGAATAGTTTGATCATTTTATCAAAGCCTATTTATTATTGTATACTAAAGATCTTAGGAGTGTCGCATGAGATTGAAAACAATATCTTCAAAGCTCGATACAAGATTTTTTTCGAGATCTCGTCTTAGCTAAATACATTTTGTAGGTCAAGTATTTGTTTGGCTTGGCTTATAGGAAGAATAGGCAATTGTCCTTGAAAATACATTAAATGGCATATATATGAAAATGAGAGAGAAAATACATACCAGGGTGTCCCTTTTACCCTATTTATAGGGCATTTGCCCTATTTTTGACTTTTTCGCCCTAGTTTTTCCCTATTTTTTCATTTGCCATATTTTTGCCCTATTTTTACTATTGTAAAATTTTTACAATTTTTACAGTGAAATGGCTGAAAATGGAAGAAATCTGACCGTTATCCTTCCAAAATTTCTAAAATTTTTGCCTGCGGCGCAAAAATGAAGAAATCTGGCTTCTTGGTCTTGCAAAATTCTCAAAATTTTCGCCTGCGGCGCTGAAAAAGGAAGAATCTTTGAAGACTTTGTGTGAAATCGAAGGCCTGCGGCGCTGAAAAAGAAGATAAATAAGGGCTTGAGTGGAATATAGGCGGATTTTTATTAGAGAAGATTTCGGAGGATATACTAGGATTATGGGGGAATTGACTAGATAACAAGGGATTTGTATTGATGAAGAGAGATCAATGGATTTGAGAGATTAATGATGTATAGGAGGATTAAGGTGAATAGAAGATTAAGCTGGATATACATAGTAATATAATTTTGAGTAAGGGTATATGAAGGGATGCCTAAATCACCTTGATAACTCTGTTAATCTTCAAATCCATTCATAATTTCTCCCAATCCCATTATATCCCTCCAATTGACTCAACTTTTTAGTGCTTCCAGTTTTTTCTGTTGTTAAGAATGTGAAAACTGACGAAATAAAAAGAATGAAGGTCAAATTACTTAAGTCACTTGTCTCGATTAAAATTAATTCTTATTTTAGTTATGCCCAGGCGCATGATCTCATTATTTCTGAACCAAATTTACCTAATTTAGTTCAAAATAGAGAAAAATATGCGGAATCAAGCTTTTTATTATAATTTTAATTATTTTCGAAGTGTTTTAAACAATGCCCTATTTTTGACCATTTTCGCCCTATTTTTGCCACATTTTTGAGTGGCTGCGCCCTATTTTAGTGGTTTGGAAAGGGTCACCCTGATACATACATAAAGTCCCCACACTCATATAACATATCCCCATTTATTGGACAAAATTATAATAGTAAAAAATTCGCACAGTGAGAAGAAAATGTTCAAAATTTTACAATTTTTTCTATATAGGTTGATTCTTTTTTTTTTGCTCCTTAGAAGAAAAAAAATTAACGATCTATTGCCAAAAACTGCGTTTTAAAATTAAAAATATTTAAATATTTAATAGTTTAAAAGTGAATAATTTATCTCAATTTATGGGGCAAATATTCTCTTATCCAACAACTCCAATAAACCCAAATCAACAAATTTCTTTTCCAACTGAACAAAATAAAAATACAAGTCCATCAAATAGTGATTCTGAAAGCATTAAAGCAGATAATAATTTAAATAAGTAATCTTTAATTTAAATTATTTTGTTATTTTCAATAAAAAGTCGTGTCCATCTAACACATGTTCATCTACGTAAAGCTAAATTAATATTCTTTTATCAACGCTATCCAAACTTTTCTGTTCTTGAAGGGTATTTCCAAGATGTTCAATTTAATGAACACAATACTGCACAGGTAAAATTTTTAGAAAAAATTATTTAAATTTAATTTTTTTAAAGCTTCTCAATTGGTTCTCTAATTTTAGGTAATTTTAATTTAATATTAAAAAATATTTAAAATTTTTTATTTAAAAATAAATTTTAAAGAGAATTTTATTATATGAAAATGGAAAAGTTTGCCAAGCAGGCAATATATGAAGGGATTAATGATCAAGAAGAGGCTTATTTTTAATTAATTTATTTTTAACATATTAAATTATTTAGATAGTTGTAACATCTGAATCAAAAATATTTAAACAAATTAATCAACACTTTAATAAAAATAATGTTTTTGAGGTAATACTAAAAAATCCTAAAAAACAAATAAAATAGGAATATATTTTTCGCTAATACATAGTACATAAAAAATAATTTTTTTAAAAAACAATTCAATTTTACCACAATACTTAATAGAAAATCGAAGGTCCTCTATCTAATGTTACCAGAAAATATATCAAATCCAAAGTCAAAGTAAACGATGGTTCCTTGTAAGAGTAACTCCAAAATGTAAGGTGTTATAATTTATAACAAACTGGTGCATGGATACGGATAATATACGAATACCCGCGGATGGATATGGCTCAAAAGTTGCACGGATATGAACGGATACTGATATTGACCTCAAGGATATATCAGGACACGGAAAGCAAAATCCGTATCCATGCACCAGTCTGATTTTCAAACGGATTTTGTGCCTAGATGACTTATTTTGTAAGAACCACTATAGTTCTTGTTATTCTTTAATTCCAAAATTAATGAAATATACACTATTTATTTATTAAATTTATTTATTAATTTTTAGGTCCCAGAGAGTTTCCAATTTGTTGTTCAAAAAACTTTAAGAGAATTTTTTACAGCTTTACAACAACAGAAAAATTTAGAAGAACCTTCTTGGGAAGAATTAATAAAGGAGGTAATTAAACAATTAGATGAACCAATTCCTAATTATTTCCGTGAATCTAAATTTGATGAAATGTTTGAAAATAAATAATGAAATTTGAATGGAGGTGAAAAAATGAGAAAAGAAAGATTAAAAATTGATAACATAAAAATATTTTGTTTTTGAACAATAATTTTTTGATTAAAAATATAATTTAATGTAGAAAATTTAATTTTCGCGCTCTTTATTTACTAAATTGGCCAATTTTTGGTGGAAATAAATTGGTGGAAATATTTTTTAAATTAAAATGGACTTTAAGTTGTTGTATGTATTTGAAAAAAAAAAGAATAGAATAATCTAAATTACAAGACTAAATAAAAGAATATCGAGGGTGAATTATAATGAAAAATAAACGGTTGTGTTCGGTCCAGATACCGATCAAGACTTATAGCCAGAGGGACCCCTTCACCTTATTTACAGGGAATTTGCCCTATTTTTGACCTTCTCGCCCTATTTTTCTCTATATTCTACATTTGCCATATTTCTACCATTTGTAATATTTTTAAAATTTTTGGTATTTTGTGAAGGAAATGGTTGATAATGGAAAAAATGGCTACATGGTCTTCGAAATTTCTCAAAATTTTCGCTTGCGCCGCTGAAAATGGAAGACAAAAATTGATAAAGGTATCAAGGATTTGAGGGGTTAAATAGGATTTAAAGATCTGCGTGAATTTAAATATGAGGAGATTCAGGTGAATGTCAGATATAAAGAGGGATTTGTGGATTTAGAGATTTTTAAAAATTGATTTTTGTATTTTAATAAACATTTTTTTTAATTCTTTACTATTTTTTCCAATTTACTATGTTGAGATTTCATCAAATCAAAATATTTTTGTTTCCTTTGGCATTCAAGCAAAGGATTAAAAAAATACATTTTTCCCAATTTCTCTTTTTTCATTCAAAAATAAACATTTATTATAAAATTCTCTCAGTACGGCAATAATCACACTCGTCGATTTTTAACAACTACGACAATTTTTATAACTAGGCAATGGGAATAAAAAAAAACAAATTGCCCTTATAAAGCAGAGATTTTCTTCATACATAATCATTTGCCATTCATTTTTGTTTATAATTATAACTTACTGCGTTTTTTAGATCACTTTTATCTCAATCCAATGTGGAGCTACCCTAGTTTAGAATAATGCTATTTTTGTCCTTTTATGTTCTATCTTTTCCATATTTTAAGAAACTGTTCCCTATTTAGTGTTTTGGAAATAGACCCCTATACTTTTAGCTATCAGCGTAGATTTTTATTGAAATAAGTCTACCCAAATTAGTTTAGTTCTAGAATTAATTATTTTTTAACTGTTATTTTTAAATGCGTTCAAAATTAAATTATGATTTCTGTGAAGATCAGAAAATTTATTTTGGAACACATATTTTTATTTTTTAAAAATTGCTTTTCAAATTTTCGTATTTTGATCAACGCATTTTTTTTAATTCTTTCAAATTTTTCAATTTACTTTGTTGATTTATTTTTGTTTTTCAATTTCAATTTACTTTTTTCCTTTGGCATTCAAACAGAAAATTAAAAATACATTTTTCACAATTTCTCTTTTTTCATTCAAAAATTAACATTTATTATAAAAATTCTCTCTGTACGGCAATAATTACACTCGTTGATTCAAATATAATCCAAAAATTAAATTCTCAATCTAGGTATACTATTAGAGAAAAGTTTTTATTTTTTATTCTCCATTTTATAAAAATATTGTAGTAATTAAACGAATTTGTGGATAAATCTTTTAATAATTTAACTATTACCTTTCGGTACAAGACTGGATCCACCCTGATTTTAATATTTTCTATATCATATGTATTTATATTAAAACCCGAACGAGTTACTTATTGATATTATACTTAATAATCTTACTTTATTCAATTTCCTGAAGACTGCAAGTCAATTGAACGCAGCTTGGGGGATACTCACTTGTATCCATATTTTAGTTACTTTGGTCGGTTGTGCTTCGGTCTAGGCTCATTCCATGATGGTTTTATTCCATCTCCCATCCAAAGAATTTTTCCACAGCATGAACAGCGTATTTTAAATGAGGGAGGGAGAAACACTACCATTCTTTACAATTATGTCCGCAAAAAAGTCAGCAAAAAAGTCCGCAAAGTCCGTAGGGATAACCCACAAGTACCGTTACTTTCATTCTAATAACAAAACTGCTATCTTTCTAATTTTAAATAAAAAAATTCGGTACTTGTAGGTTATCAATAATTTTATCTTTCAACCTTTCCAAACTTCTCTCTGTTTCTCTTTGGCATTAAATTTAAGGATTAAACACAGTTTTCCCAATTTTTTCAATCATTTAATTAAAATTTAAAGGCAACTTTTTAGGCTGATCCAGAAAATCAATTTTAATGTTTATCTCGCTTGATTTCACCTTTCGATAAAAATATTTTTTCTTCTTCCAAAGTGTTTGAATAAATTTCCCTTTGGCCAACAAATTTTGTCTCTCATTTGCTCGTGTTTAGTCCATCGAAATTATTAAAAAATCTGGGAAAAAATAAAAAAAATAATTTGAAAGATCCACTGAGGGAACTATTTAAATTTTTTGAAAAATAGGCAAAATAAATAATAAAGGGATGAAAAAACATAAATTCAGACATAACAAGAATGTAAAACTAACTAACATTTCCCTATATTTACAATGCTTACTTAAAAAAATATTTAAATTAGATTTAATTATCAATTAAATTTAATTAAATATAACTATTTTCTACTAATTTTAAAATTTGATTGTTTTTTACTAGGACACAATTTTTAAGGAATTTACTATCTCTTAAAGTACAAATCCATTGTCTTATGTATATCGCTATTTTTTCATTATTACAATTATTTTCATTAAATTCCTATATTATTTTAATTTTGAAGTTTTGAAAATATTTACTCTTGCAAAAAACACTAAAATATTTGATTTAATAGTCATTTTGAGAAGATAAATTTTTTCGATTGTTGTATTCGAGGCCGAAAATTATATTTTTATTTACTCTTAATTCACACTGATTTTTTGATATATTCCCAAAATCCTTCTAATCACTCTATTTTATTTTTATATTGATAATTTAAATTATTAAATTTATAACGATTTCTAAAAAATATTTTTTAAATTATTGTAAGAAAAATAGGGGTATTATTTGAAGTGGGGTGTAATTATTGTTTTGATCTCTCCCTGCATGGTGAATTAATATATGGCCGAGTAATATTTGATTGAGGGACATTAATACAGTTTTTCGGTATTTTTAATTCTGAAATTAAATTCTGAATAAAGTTTAATTATAAATTTACTGATTTAAACATTCTAATTTAATAAAAAAACCTTCACTATCAATTAATTAATAAATTAATTAATTAATAACACCTTTTACTCAAAATTTTATGTAAAGAATTTTTTTTTAAAAATTAAAAAGGCAATAGTGATTAATTTTTTAATTTATTAAACAAAAAATTAGGGCTGGATTTTCTAATTAAAATTTTTTCTCATAAATCAAAGCTAATTAAATAATTAAAATAAATATGTACATAAAGGAATTATTGCTTCTTTAATTAATTCTGATTCTAAATTTAATTTTCTGAATTTAATTAAATAAAGTTTATTAAATAAAGTTTATTTATTCTGGTTTTATTAATTCAAGTTTATTTAAAATTCTGATTCAAGTTTATTTTATAAATTCTGAATTAAAGTTTAACATTTAAAATTCTGATTTTTATTCAAGTTTTATAAAATAAGTTCAAGTTTATTTTCTATTTATTCAGTCAAGTTTATTTATTTTAATTCTGATTCAAGTTGATTTTAATATTCTGATTTTATTTATTTATTTCATAAATAAACTTTTTTGAAGAGTATACTGTAATTATTTTATTTGTGGCGAAACGTCTTTTTTATTAGTGGAGAAAATTGAAATATTGAGTCTCGTCGTTAGTGTATCCGGGCCATATTTTGGGACATAACTTTTTTTATTTTCAACCAATTCGAATAAATTTGGGCTCATTCGATAGCTCTGGATATAAGTAAAAATTAGATAACAGAATTGATTTGATCAGATCAACTTAAAAAATTATACAGCTAGATAAGTGCGCGGAATCGTGTTTTTTTGGTTTTATACGACTCTAAATTTTTGTTGAGGATCTTATCATATCAATTCTGATAGTAAAATAATCTCCAGATTTAGAGCTTTTGATTGATATATAAATTACTTAAATCCATTAAAAATCAAAAAAGTTATAGCTGAAATATTGATCAAGGGTCTCAACCTATGAGACTCAATTGTCCTTTCCTAATAAGGAATAAATTTTCGAAATAAAGGGAATATTGAGAGAAAAAATTTTAATTCAAAAGACAATTTTAAAATTTTTTTTTAATTTTCAGGTGTTGAAGTTTAATTTGAATTAATTTTAAACAAAGTTGGTATTGTCTAAAATGGTAAAAAAACATAAATCAGCAACAAATTTAACTATAAATCTTTTTTCTGGCGAAAAAATTTTAATTCAATTAGCAAAAGAGTCGACTATGTTTGTAAAGGTTATTTTAACTGGATTGTTTCCTTTTATTTAAAATTTTTTTTAGAAATTTTTAATTTACTTGAAACGAAATGGAGGGAAGCTGTTAATTGCACAAATGATTTTTGCTGACGATGGAATTAAACTTAATAGTATAATTTTATAAATTAGGGTTCCTCGATCCCCGGCAAACCTCAATCCCCGGCACTACCCCTCGAAGCGTCGGAGTGCTTCTCCAATGGATATTTATGTATCACAAAAATAACCTCCTAAGCTTAACATGGTTACCCTCTTTTCTGTCAATCTCCATAAAAATATTCACTCCAATTTCGGGTAATATTGAAGCGTACAGACCCCTTTTTCCTCAATAATTTTCCCCACATATTCTTACAAATGGTCAAACTTTTTCCTTTCTTCTCCATTTTACTTGTTTTTTGCATGTACTTGCACTTGTATAAAATTAAATAATCCTTTTTGATTGGTTGTAGGCAAAAATTAGAAAGGCAAATTGGATGGAAGAAAGGAAAAATTCTAGCCATTTTGTAAAAATATGGGAGGAAACTTATTGAGGAAAAAAGGGGTCTGTACGCTTCAATATTACCCGAAATTGGAGTGAGAATTTTTATGGAGATTGACAGAAAAGAGGGTAACCATGTTAAGCTTAGGAGGTTATTTTTGTGATAAATTATCGCAATTTTATTAGGGATGGGCCTTTTCCTTATCGCCCTACTGCGAAACCCGTAATTGTTTTACCCATCATATTCCCTACATCTACATTCCCCGTGGATACCTTCATGTTTCCTTTTGAATTCCCCCCCCCCCCTTCCTGGAAATATAGTGAAATTAGGAAGGAAGAAAAATTTGACCAGTTCTAACCCTTCAAGATAAGCAAAGAGTGAAAAGAGGTGTCAAGGGGAGACTAATACCTGTCTATCAGGGATCTACCCCGTCCCCAAAAATTTTGGTGCTTATTCACTCCCTCCCCCTCAGTCTTCTTTTGTTAAATATGTACAAAATGCTGTCTAATTAGTGAAAAAATGGGACGGTCAGATTATTGTTATCAATTTTCAGGGGTCGGTACATAGTTTTTCCCCATGGCAAATATTTCCCCATTCTCCCGTGGCACAGATTTCTTCCAAAACTTGCCTCATATTCTGCTTAATATAAACTTAAAACAATTTAGAAATTGTTCGCCGTGGATTTTGTTCAAAATTGAGTGTCAAGATTTTTTGTACAACAATTTTACATGACAAGTTGATGAATCTTTGTGGAAAAATTTTGAAGAATTTTCGTGGAAATTATTTTTCTAAGTTTGTAATTTTTTATATTTTTTTATATATATATGAGGGTTTGATACTTTCCTGTTATTATTAGGTAATCGAGGGTTTAATTAATCGTTTAAATTATGTTCTGGTCGGGCATGTCTGTTCCGTTTTTTAGACTGACATGTTAGATGAACTCCCCCCCCCCCCCCCCCCCTTCATAGATGAACTCCCCTTTCCTCTCCCTTTTTTTTGCTTAATATTTACTTGATAATTAGACTTCTCGATTCCACTCGATTTTCTTTTGAAATATATTTATAGAATATTAAGTACAAAAAACCTCGTTCTTCCCAATATATTTTCTTTTGGAAACTCAATAAAAAATTATTAACATTTTAAGAAAAAAGGGAAGGGACAAAAATCTTGTCACTAAAACACCTTTTATTATTATTAAGGACCAAACGACAAAACAACAAAGTCAACTTCAAAAAAAATAAAATTAATTACTCTGTTGGAAGTAAAATGGCTACATATTGCTTACAGAACCATAAAAATATTGACAAAATTAATGTAATTTTTTTAGTATTTTAAATAAGGAAATTAGAATTTATTTCTTTTTTGCTTATGTATGTGGCGGAGAGTCCGCAAGTTTTGTCCGCAAAACTTGTCTTCTCTTTATATAAAAAATTGTCGTTTTGAGAAATAACTTTTATAACTTGCGGACAAAACTTGCGGACTTTCTGACAAATACTTGAGTAAAAAAGTTTTGAATTTTTCAAAATGGGGAAATCCTCGTTTTACTTAAAATCAATTTTTATTTAAAAATTTTTTTTCGTATTTTTGCCTTCAAAATCCTTAAATTTCTGTCTATAAGATCCTTTCTGTTCCACCTCTTATTATTAACAAATGAATTGATTTATAAAATCAGAATATTTTTAAACAAATAGAAAATTTTATTTTTTGATGGAAAATTTAAATACAAATTTATTAAATTTTTAGACTTTCACTTCGTCAACAAAAGGGGCCCCTCCGTTCCCATTAGGTTGGCGTACTGGAGGGTGCCAACCTTGGCTGTTCTTTTTTGTTTTTTCTTCCTTAATTAATGGAGTATTGGCGATCGAAAACATCCAAATATTTGGAGGTGCATTTGGTGGCGCAATTTTTTCTTGTGTTGTCTTCTACATTTCTCTTTGCCTTTACAACAAATATTATGACAAATTATTTACAAATGATGACAACAAGAAAGAAGCCAAAATGGAAGAAGGAAAACAATTACAAGTAACTTATAATTTCTTAGAATTCTAATTTTATTTTTAATTTACTTCCTGGGATTCTAATAGGCTTAAAAATTTTTTGTGATTTTTTCTTTGGGTTTTTTCTGAGATTTTTATTATTAGTGAGTGAATTTTGTGAAGATTGATTTTTTGTGTGATTGTGTGTATTTGAGTTGGGATTCTGATTTTGATAAATTTTATGAATGATTACAGCAAAAATAATTTTGGCAAATTTTGTCAGTAAAAAATTTTGCGGACAAAACTTGCGGACTTTTTTTACTGACAAAATTTGCTGTAATTATTTTTACGGACAAAACTTGCGGACTTTTTTTGCTGACAAAATTTGCTGTAATTATTTTTGCGGACAAAACTTGCGGACTTTTTTTGCTGACAAAATTTGCTGTAATTATTTTTGCGGACAAAACTTGCGGACTTTTTTTGCTGACAAAATTTGCTGTAATTATTTTTGCGGACAAAACTTGCGGACTTTTTTTGCTGACAAAATTTGCTGTAATTATTTTTGCGGACAAAACTTGCGGACTTTTTTTGCTGACAAAATTTGCTGTAATTATTTTTGCGGACAAAACTTGCGGACTTTTTTTGCTGACAAAATTTGCTGTAATTATTTTTGCGGACAAAACTCGCGGACTTTTTTTGCTGACAAAATTTGCTGTAATTATTTTTGCGGACAAAACTTGCGGACTTTTTTTGCTGACAAAATTTGCTGTAATTATTTTTGCGGACAAAACTTGCGGACTTTTTTTGCTGACAAAATTTGCTGTAATTATTTTTGCGGACAAAACTTGCGGACTTTTTTTGCTGACAAAATTTGCTGTAATTATTTTTGCGGACAAAACTTGCGGACTTTTTTTACTCATTTTTTATGCAAATGTGATGTCTTTAGTTTGATTTTTTTGTCTTTGATGTTTTCATCTGTATCATAAGATTATCAAAAAAAATTTTTGATGTAAAAAATAAATAAAATAAAGTAAATAAAAAGAATTTTTCATTTTTTAGAAGATATTAATTAAACAAGAGGAGACAACAGAGGAAGAACAACCCTCCACTATTGAAATTGACTTTACTCAAGCATCGGAGTTAGATAATGGAGGTAATTACATAAAAATATTTATTTTGAAATTAAAAAAAATTTTTTTTTCAATTCCTCGAAATTTTTTAATTTTTTCTGAATTTTTGAAAATTATTTTTTTAAAATTTTTTTTAATTATTTAAAAATTTTTTTAATTTTTTTTAAACAATTTTATAAAGTTGACAAAAAATAATATTTTGAAAATAAATAAAAATAATATGTCAACCTTTACGATTTTATTTTTTGAAAATAGAAACATTTTTTTATTCCTGTTTCTGGAGAACTTTTATAATTATTTGACGAAAAAAATTTTAATGTTTTTAAATTTGTATTAAAAATTGCTATAATATTTTTATCAACCTTTTAAAAATTATTTTTTTTTTCGGAAATAAAATTCAAAATAAATTTTGGAATTAAATAAAAATTAAAAAAAAAATACATAAAAATTTTTTTAAGTTGACAAGCAAGAAATTATTGAAAAGAAGGATGTTTTGGTTAAAAATTTTGATAAAAATGTTCTTTTAAAACGCTCCAAATCAGTTACAAATTTGTCTATTGCTGGTGGTTCATTAAAGCGTTGTTGTTCATGTCGGGAAATTAATATGGAAATGGTATAATTTAAATTACAATTAAATATTTTTGGAAATTTGATTTTAATTCTTTTTTTGGAAGCAATAATTTTATTTCAAAAAATATTTTTTAATTTTTTTTTCGTACAAAAATTTGTGGGCAAATAGTATTTTGGAATTATATTAATACAGGATTCGTATCCGAAAAATGCTAAGTACTAAAAGTTTAATTTGGAAATATATACGGGGAATATTTTCAAATTATAATTTTACACTACAAAAAAATATTTTAAATTTTTTCGCCCAAAGGCCCAGATAATTCATTTTTTGCGCCGCTGGAAAAAATTTTGTGAATTTTTGTTGAAATTTATTAACTAAAAGTCCATTTTAAGTATGTACTTACAAATAAGTAGGTTCTTAATTTTGAAATTGCGGGTGTCGATTTGTATGTACTTCCAAAATAATTACGAATACGAACCCTGTATTAATATTTAAAAATTAAAAGAATATTTAATTAAGTTTTTCTTAAACGATTTCTGCCCAAAATTTTAAATTTAATCTTTAAGAATCGAAATTTTATTAACGACTTTTAAATTTTTTATGTAAATTGAAATTACTTAATTTCTAAATAGTAAAGCATTAAATTTTAAGGATAATAAGTCAGTTTGTTCTTCAATTGACTGGGAGTCAGATTTTGATGACTGTGTTGGTGGCGTTTATCCTATTGGTGGAGAAACATGTATTGAATGCCATATTCAGCCTAATGGAAAAACAGGACTCACTCCGGACGAAAAGATGGACTTGGCCAGCCATGAGGCTGGCCATGCCTTTGTTGCATTTCTCCTCGGAGTTCCTGTTACAAAAGTTAATAAAAACGTTTAATTTTTTAATAAAGAAATTTAGATAACACTCTTGCCTGAAGGGCAATTATTAGGACACACGCTAGTTAAGTTTGGAGACAAACAAGTGATATCAAAGGAGGAGAAGGAAAAGCAAATTACATGTTTGTGGGGAGGTCGAGAATCAGAGAAGAAATTACGTGGTAAAATAACCACGATGTTTAAGTCAGATCAAAGGGCAATTAAAGAAGTTCTTGAACCTATGGTAATAGCCCAAATTTATCACGATTTTTAAAAATCATATTTTAGGGTCCTGAGTTTGGCTTGAGTGACAACGATGCCCTTTATGTTTTCAAAGCTGAGTCTGAGAAATTCAAAGGGATGAAAGACGACGACAAATACTTGATTGGAAATAATTGTAAATTAAAAGCAAGACAATTAATAGAACAAAATGCTGCTGCTGTGGAGGCGGTATATTTCAAAAAATGTTTTTTAAATTAGCAATAAAAATTTTTAGTTGGCCTCAACCCTTTTTGGTTGTGAGGAAATGGTTGGGGAACAGCAAATTAAAGAGTTTTTAAAATTTTATTAAAATTCTAAAATTATTTCTAACTTCAGAACATTGATTAAACTTCAACAGCAGTACACCGGAAACAAATAAAGGATTTTTTATGTAAAGTGGGTATTGTCAAAGAGGAAAAATTCACGGATTCTAAATATACTATTATAAAAATGTCATTCTGTTTTTTTCGATTATAATATACCTATTTGTTTTGTTATTAATGTTGTTTAATTTTTTGGGTTGAGGTCGTTTTGGCGCGAGAACAGAAAAGTGGCACTTAGGCGGGATTTAAATTCTTTAAAATTTCCTCAAATTTCTTTAACAACCTTGACTACCTACTCCAGAAATTTCAGAATTTTTCATCCAATATTTCTAAGGTTATAGTCGATAGACCTCGAAAAATTAGGCATTTTTCAGAAAACCAACATTTTTGGCCATAATTTCTAAAATTCTCGCTCAAAAATTCTGAAATTTTTGGAGAACTTAGATAAAGGTACGAGAGTTGTTATTACAAAATTTTATCAGTTTAGATAAAAAATCGCTATCTTATAAGCGATTAAAAAATCGCTATCTTATATCCTTTGGATCTCGAGGTTGGAATCTATTTTTTCTTATAAGCTCGCGCCAAAACGGCTCCGCGCCAAAACGGCCCAGTCCCTAGATTTTTGGAGATCGAGAATAAAAAAATTTTAAATTGATTTCGGAAATTTATATATTTTTTGAGGTTGGTTGGACCTTTGGATCTCGATGTTGGACCTATTATTTTTTCCCTTTTTCTGCTAATTTTGTTCGACTTTTTTATTTTTAGATATTTTTCTAGATATTCCTTTAAATTTCTGATGGGTCTAGTCGCTAGTGTTGGTGAATTACAACGATGAATTAGTTGACAATTTGGTTAAACATGATTCAATTAAAAATGAACGGGTTGAGCGTATAATGAGGTTTTCTTTGATTTTTCATTTTAAAAGAAATAATGTTGTTTGTAGATTTGTTGATCGAGGCAAATTTATGCCAGAAAATGGAGGAAAACGTTTATAAAGATTCTGCTTGGAAATCGGATTTGGGATTGCCTGGATTTTTACATATTTCTGCTCCGTGCATTTATGCAAATGTATTTTTTTAAAAAGATTTTTGGGGTTTAATTGAGAATTTGGTGGTTTTATGAGTTTTCATGAATTTTTTGGTGCACCAAGCTTTTCCCTTTTGATTGATTTTGGTGGGAGAGAGCTTGCCGAAATACCAAACTGTGTAAATGACGCCGTAATACCAAACCCCCAAAGGCCTGAAGATCCCATTTTTTCCTCCCTAAGTGTTTTCTTATATATTTGCAGAATGGTCAACCTTTTCCTTTCTTCCATCCAAGGGGAATAAAACTTAATTCCTTTTAATTGTTTGTAGACAAAATATAGAAAGTTGATTGGAATGAGAGGAAGAAGTCTGATCATTCTGTAGATATATAGGAAAAAACTTGGGGAGGAAAAAAATGAGGTCAGTCAGGTTCAATATTTCAGGCTGCTGAAATACCGGGCTTATACCGAATTGTTCATTTAAAAATTTCCATTGAAGTTTAAAAATCAATATAATTTTCAGGTCCTCGAACATCTTGATTTACAAAGAGGACAGTCTTTTCTGAATATTGGATCTGGTACGGGTTATCTCAGCACTATGGCAGGCTTCTTTTTAGGTTTCTTTTCTAACTTTTCTCTTTCTTTTATATTTTTATTTTTTAGAAGAAAATGGAATCAATCACGGAGTTGAACTTTATGGTATTTTTAAATATTTTAATTCAAAATTTAATTAATTTGCTTATAGAAAATGTTGCCGATTATGCAGCTGAACGCATTTCTTTGTTTCAATCATCTCCTGAAGCTTGTGCTTTTGAATGGTACGTGTAAAGACAAAGCACTGTCCACACAAGAGCAAATCTTGGGCATAGGAGTTATAGTCCCATGTATAAAGGACCAAGAAGCCGTGAAGTCTAAAGATGTTAAGAAAGCATAAAATCGACATAAATTGAATTTTAGAGATTGGAAATTTTAACAATACCTTAACGATGATGCGTGATTCTGGTTGGGGACATTGAACAGATTTTGACCTTGAGTTGAGAAAAATAGCATGACAGAGTAACATTGAAAAAGTGCCTTGCTCTTGACTCAGGATCCAGGAAAAATCAAGTTCTGGATCAAGTTAGAGGCCGATCTCTATCGAATTTATAATATCAGTAAAAATCAACGAGGTTTTCACTCTAATGTCTGGACAGTGTTTTGCCCCTTAATTCAATAGTTTTCAACTTTTCTTAACTTTTTTAATTTTTTAGGTGTTCCCCAACTTATCTTGTTGGAAATGCTTTTCAACTTGAACAAAACACTAATAAATATGACAGAATTTATTGTGGTGCTTTAGTCCCAGAATCTCATCGTGCTTATTTTTGCTCATTTTTAAAAGAGGAGGGAATTCTCGTTATGCCGTATGGACATTCGGTTTAAAAAATTTTTTTTGAATTTTATTGCTTTAGGAGTTAGGTAAGAATAGGATGTGCACATGACTTGTTAAAATTAGGGTTAAACCCCCGTCTCCGGGGAAGGGAATGCCCCGGCGAATTTTATTTAGATTTACGCGTACTTTAATCATTTTCAAGATTCCCGTGGGGAAGCTTGAAGGGCCCCCGAACTCGAATACCCCCACAAACCCCGTTCCCCGTACGATCAGCCCCCGGCCCGTAAAATTGAACACTAGTTAAAATTGGACGTATTCTCAGAAAATTTTTTGGTATTCGCGTTTCGTGTCTGGCCAGTTAGAGGATTAAAAATGAAAAAAACAGGGGTCGGGGTTTGGAAAGAAAATTTGCGGATCGGGTATCGGGTCGACAAGTCCAGGTTTCTCGGATAATTTGTGACATCCCCTGGTTCCAAGCGTGTATCCAACAAGAAGGCGTTGAAGGAAGGAAAAATAATTTAAAAATTTCTTTTATTTTTTTCCAGCTTCAACGTGTTATTCGTAAATCAGAAAAATTGTTTAAAACTCGTGATCTAACAAATAAGTGCAGTTACATTTTCTCATTTAATTCCTGTAAATATCGATGACAATTCTCTTTCAAATGATATGTTTCGCTTCCACTTTTTCAACCTACTTCATTATAATTTTTGTGTAGAAACAAGTTTGTTCATTTTTTGTAAATTAAAATTTATTCTGAGAATTTCGAAAACTTTTTCTTTACAATTTGGATTTTATAATTTAAAATGGAATTTTATTCTGAAAACACAAAACGGGTATTGTGGCTTCATGAGGGGAAGGGTAGTGGCTGATCCGGGACACGCCCAAGTAGGCGCGCGGCCAGGTAGGCGCAAAGCCATAACTACCTGGAAAATTTTTGGACCTTAACAATTTTGGTACCAATCTGTTTAGCTCGATGAGAGGAATCGTTTATTGCTAAATTTTGAAAGATTCGAAAATCTTGAAGCAACTTATGGCTTTGCGCCTACTTGGCCGCGCGCCTACTTGGCTGTACCCGGCTGATCCTTGCAAAGGGGATATGTCACTTGAAGGAGCTTCAAATCGCTGTCATGCTCCTCAATCAGAAACTGAGTTATAGACTTGTAAAATTCGAAAAATTATGGGTGGGACCAAGCTAAAAAATAGTTCACCCCGAAATTTTTAAAAAATTATTTTGAATTTAAAAATAACCCTCCAGAATCTGCTTGATTCCCCCATGGTTTTTAGTAGGTTTTAGCGAATCATTATTGAAATTTATAAAATTAATTATTTTATAAAAGAATTTTTCTTTTTCAGAATTCGACAATTAATTCGACAAAAACTTTTTGTTGACAAACCAGTTGAAATTTTTTCACTTTATGCCGAAAAACATGCCAAAAAATCTTGTAGTGTTCAGCATGATAATTATGACGGAAGAGATCAACGACATTCTTTAGCGGAAGATCTTTTGCCTCCTAGGCCTATGATGATTGATCCACCACCTATCCCGCAACCTTTGCCTTCAAGAACTCCTCGTTTTACTTCTGTTGGTATGTTTTTTTTGTTTTTACTGTTGGTAAAAAATAAATTTCAATGAGAATATTAATTATAGGGACTGGATCGTGACTAGATATCTGTCTTTATTTTTCTATGACAGATTTCCCGGTTAAGACTGGGAGTATTTGAAACCGAAAGACTTCCGAGTACTCGGAAATTTTTGTTTCGGATATTGATTCCGTTTTCGGGTTTCCTTGGAAATTTCCCATGAACTACCCCAGTCCTTTTTATAGTCTAATTATTATAAATCTAGTTATTGGGGTTTTACACAATATGCACCGAAAAGCCCAAAATATGCACCAAATGGAGGTACCGAAATATGCATTAGGAACCGACCTTTTCCATTAATTTTTGTTTATTTTTTTATATATTATAGGTACCAACACGCATGGTGATTCTAACAATAATAATAGAACAGCTAATAATAATAATGGACGACACAACCACAACAACAACCACCACCAAATGCTTGCAAATCTTCGCCATACTCATGCTACACAATTTCGTCATCTTTTTGCTTTATTTGCACGTGATCGTATACGTCGTCATCATGAAGCTATAGCTCATCATCGTGCTGCTGGAAGAAATTTACGTATAATTAACATTGGTAATGATAGTGATTCTGATAATAATGATGATGAAAATGAAAACGAGGAACCAAATTGAATTACGTGGCATTGATCGGCAACAACGTTTTTATTCGGGACCTGATGATGAAGCTTTTGTAAGAGTTTGTTTTTCTTTTTTTTATTTGACTGACTAAAAAATAGGGGACTTATGTTAGTCTTAAAATAGGTTGGGTTTTATTAAATAACTTTTCATAAGGAAACCTTTTGAGCTATGACTTAAAAAATTAAAAATTATGCCATTGCATAATAAGGTTGGGAGTAGTTGGAAATCTTGGATATCCGGATCCGCCAACCTGTAGAATATAATCGATAGCCTATTGCCAAATTTTGCTATTGTTTTTTGACTCTAACTCCCATTTTGAAAAATTACAGGGCTTCAAAATTATTGACCATGCTTTATACGATGGTAAAATTTTTATTAAAAATTTTTGGTAATAGTTCGGAATCCTTCTTATTTTGCCATTAAGTTTTTCTCTGCACCTTTCTAATAATAAAAAAATATTTTTTTTGTACCGCGCCTATATTTTCTCTTTAAAATGTAATTTCAATATAGTCTTAATTAAAAAAATTTTTTTTAGAATTTTGTATTTGAATCTGAAGATGAGGTTAATAATGATATGATGAATATGAAGAAGAAGAGGAGGAAAATGAAGAAGAGGAGGTAAATGTTGAAAATGATGGTAGTGTTGACAATTATGAGAATATAAATTGAACTGACAATGAGGGAACTGACAATGAGGATGATGAGAACAATGAAGCTGTAAATAGCAGAGCTGCGTCGAAATAAACAAATCTTCGAAATTCGGAAATCGAAAATCGAAAGAAATCCAAAAATATCGAAATCGAAAATCGAAATTTTATAAAAAAATTCGAAAATCGGAAATCGAAAATCGGCAGAAAAAAACGTCGAAAATCGAAAATCGGTAATCGAAAATCGAAATTTTTTAAAATAACTAAAAGAGTAGTAAACAATCCGCAATATGGAGATACATATAAGGGTTAATTTTGAGATACATATAAGGGGATTCAGTGGATTAATGGTAGTCTTAAGAGATATCAGTGATCGTAGAGATATACAGGATTAGGAGGTTGAATAGAGACCAATTAAATCCGCACCCTAATCACTTTAAATCCTTTATTCCTCCGATATTCTACTCGCCCCTTGATACCCTTGATATCCCATCCTCCTGTATCCCTCTTATTATTGTAAGGCAAATGGATTAATTGGAGGCTTGGGTGAAGTCAATGATAATATTATTTAGGTGAATTTGATCAGATTAAGGGAAATATTATATGATATCAGGCGAATATGAGGGATGTCGAGGGATACGCGAGATTTGGGCGGATTATCGTGGGATTTGGGTGGATTAAAGGGAATCTCGCGATTAAATTAAAGGGAATCTTATTTTTATCCCTCCATCTTTCTTAACCTTTTTTGCGCCGCAGGCGAAAATTTTCAGAATTTTGAAGATCATTAAGCCAAAAATCTTCGATTCTCTGCGCCGCAGGCGAAAATTTTGAAAATTTTGGAAGACTAGAAGACAGATTTCTTCATTTTTTAGCGCCGCAGGCGAAAATTTTGAGAATTTTGAAAGGCCAAGTAGCCAAATTTCTTCATTTTTGGCGCTGCAGGAATAAAATCTTTAGAGAAAAGATAATACAATTTTGCAAAAAAATCGAAAATCGAACGAAAATCGAAAAAACTAAAATTATCGAAATCGAAAATCGAAATTTTATGAAAAAATTCGAAATTCGGAAATCGAAAATCGGTAGAAAAAAACGTCGAAAATCGAAAATCGAAAGTCGAAAATCGAAATTTCGACGCAGCTCTGGTAAATAGTGATGATGATGATAGTTGGTCAGATAAAAATAATGTTGGTTCATTGTCTTCTTCTTCTGAAAGTTATGTTAATTTAAATAATGATAAGAATGATGATTCGTTTAAAACAGCAAGAATGTCAACACCAAAAAAGAAGGCAAATACAATACCAAAAATGAGTAAAAATAGTTTGACACGACTTGGTCTTGAATTATCTTCAGATGAGGAAAAAAAGAAGAGGAGGAAAAGGGAGAAGGTGAGGAAGAAAAAGATGAAGATGGGGAAGAAAAAGAAGATGGTGATAATAGTAATGAATCTTTTGAAACGGCTAAGGATATAATTATGGTTAAAGACGAAAATGTTGAAGCTTTTGAACGCTACGCATCAAAAATGAGTAAAAATAGTGACGATAAGGAGGAGGAGGATAAAATTTAAGAGGAAAGAAGTGATGATAATGATGAAGAAAAATTAGAACAAGAAGAAGAAGAAAAATTGAATGATTCTATGAATTCAAGTCCTTTTAAAAATGGAAGCTGTAATAATAAACGTTTGCGTACATGTACGTCTAATTTATTGGAAATGCCGCAATCAAGGTTATATATAGTAAAAACTTTAGAAATTTTAATAATTTTTTTTTAAATTTTTTTTACTTCCTAATAAGGACAGTTTTTATTTTTTTCTCTTAAATAGAAAAAAAGTAAATTTTTCAAAATTTGTAGAAAATATTCGGTAATAGTTTGTAATCGCCTCCTTTTTTTCCCGTACCCTGCTCATTTTACCTTTTTTGTTTAATATGTAATTGATATCATTCAAAAGAGCTTTTCGAGCTTGATCGAAATGATATTAAGAATTGCTAGATTTAAAATAAGTCATATTTTGTTGATTTTACTTTCATTCGACTATTAGCGAAACTTGAAAAAAAAGGTTTGATGGAAAAAAATTTTTTTCTTTTTTTTAAAGTGTTTCAATCAAAACTGTCTTTCTAAGAAGATTTTTAAATATAAAAAATTTTTTAATAAAAAAAATTTTAGCAAAATTAAACGTCGATTAAGCTACATTCAACAACAACAAGAAGTAGGGCGGCCTTCAACAAGTTCTTCGATTTCTGGTCTTAATAATAATAATAATACAAATTCGCAAATATTCTCTGATGCTAAATTGACGGGTGAATTTTTACAGGAAGATGCAGTTATTTTTAAATCTCAAAAAGAAGAGATAAAGAAAATGGCTGAGGCTAAGGAAGTGGCTGAGGCTAAGGTAAACATTGAGGGGAAATTTTTTTAAATATTTTTTGATGAATCGAGCAAAATTTTTTTAGTAGTTTGGAAGTCCGAGACTTCGAAAAAGGGTACTTTTCGTTTTTGCCAAACCACCCCCTCCCCTTCCATATATTTGAAGGATACATACATATATTTGTACATTGGCTTTGTGATTTGTTGGTCTGCTCCTGAAAGTGATTTTTCTATTTTTTTAAATTGAAAGAATTTTTTGGGCCTTACTGACTCTGAGACTTTCAAAAAAAATTTTTAGTCTTACTGACTCCATGACTTAAAAAATTTTTTTGAAAAAATTTTTAAAGCTTCATTAAAAAAATTTTTTTTGTTTATTTTTTTAGTTTAATGAAACCAAAGTTAAAGAACGGACAGAACAACTTGCTGATTTTCATGCAAAATTTATTGAATTAATTCAATCACTTCCTCTAAACATTCAAATGCGTAAATTTCTTGTTTATGAAAATGCTTGATGAGAAGAAAAATAAATAAAAATATTTTTGTGTGGATGAGAGGAAGAATTTTGTCTTCAATTGACTTTGAAACAAAAAAAGTCTTACATTTATTCTTTTTTAATTTCAAAAAAATATTATAAAATTCCCCCAGATAAAATATATTTTTTTATAAAAATATAATAAGGATGCGACTTAATTTTTGAAAAAAAAAATTAATTTTTCCTCCTTGTTTCCTTATATGTATATCCCCAAAATTCTGCAAAATTTTATCCACAAATTATTTACAATATAATATTTAATTTTTGTCGCTTTCCTTGTTATATTCTATTTACTATTAAGTGTCACAAAAAAGTTTTTAAAAAAAAGCGGGTTGTTTAAAAATAACAAAATATATAAAGCAACCGAAATTCAGTCAATTATATCCAGGTTTTCGATCTCGAATTTTTTAAAATCCGCAAATTTATCAAAAAATCCGCATTTTATATTAAAAATCCGCAAAAAATTATCAAACACAAAAATTGAATTAAAATCACTTTATGCGTTATATTTTTCAACTTCAACAATTGAATTATGCAATTTTTTTAATAAAAATGATTATGTTATGAAAATCCGACAATTACCTGCAAAATTACACTTGCATTTTTGTCACGGAAGATATAATTTTTTTTCTTCCATTTTCAGCGTCTCAGGCGCAAATTTTTTTAAATTTAGAAGATCCTTAAGCTAAAAATCTTTCATTTTCAGGCCATAAAAATTTTTTTAAGGATTTCGAAAGATCAAGGACACAGATCCTTCCATTTTAGCGCCGTAAGCGAAAATTTTGAGGATCTTAGAAAGTCTTAGCAGAAAATAATGACATTTTATGCTAAAAACCACAAGAAAATATAAAAAATCCTCATAATCTTCAAAGGACAACAAAAATCCGCAAATCCGCATTATTAAAAATAATCCTCATCGCCCTATCAAAAAACCACAAAATGAGGAAAAATCTGCAGATATCGAAACCCTGATTATATCAAAATATACCATTCGACCTCATTTATGTTTTTAACTTGAAGGTGGCACCTAAACCAACTTATACCCACCCACCCCTCATGAAGGGCTGAAGGGCGTAGTAGCCAAGGAGGTCGAGCCCCCTTGGCTTAACGATTTTAGTAGTTTTGACGATTGTTTCAGCATCCAAGGGCGTTACGAGGACATGTTAAGGAAAAAAGTAGTTTTGTGTCTTCAAAAAAATTTTTTTTCGATTTGGGTTTCGGGTCGAAAAAAGTTTTGATATGGATTCAGGTATTCCTTCCCATTTTTGTCGTAAAATAATTGAGGTTCACCTACATAAAAATATTATATAAATCTTAAATATTATTTTTCATGGTTTTAAAAAAATTATATTAATTATTTACTTTAAAAAATAAAATTTATTTTATTTTGAATACCATGTATTTTTTTGATATTGAATAAAAATTTAAGAAGAAAAATTTAATTTTTATGTTTTTTTGAAATTAAATTGAAATTAATTTTTGAATATTTAATTTATTTTTTTAATAATTTTTTAAATTTATTTTCAATGGTATGAATTTTTACAGACAACGTTTTTTCCATGTTTTAGCTTTCCGTTTGTGTTGTTGCTTTTTCTCTAATACTTGGTTTGTTCCTGATGAGTATTTTCAGGTTTAATTTAATTAATTTAAAAATCAGAATTTTAAATGAACATTTGTTTGTTCAATTTTTATTCTGATTTTACAAATCAGAATTTTTAAGCAAACAAGCTTTGTTTTTTTAATTTTATTCTGATTAGAAATCAGAATTTATGTATAACGAACATGTTTTAATTTTTATTGTAAGTTGATCGTAATTCTTAAAATCAGAATTTGTAACGAACATTTGTTTAGTTTTTATTCTGATTTAAATCAGAATTTTAAATAACCATTGGCTGTTTAATTGTTCTGATTTTTCTTTTTTAAGTTGGATGTTTGTAATTTGATTGTTTTCTTGTTTTTGGAGTTTGCGCAATTTCAACATTTTTTGAGAAATATATTGTTTAAAAATAACTTTCACAAAAATTATAAAACATTTTCTGAAATTTCTCTAGAAATTATTTTTATTCTCAAAAATTTATTCGGATATTTTATGATGCAAAATAATCGCTATTTAATAGTAATTTTTTAATTAATTTTTAAAAATTTAGTCAATTTTATTTTAAATATATGTATACGGTAGAATTTGGGAAATTTGTCATATTAAAAATTCAATTTTATTTTATAAAAATTTAATTTTAATTTTAAAAATGAAGTTTTAATAGATAATTTAAATTCATTTTATATTAAGAATTTTAAGGCGGAGACTACTGAAATTTAAAAAATTTTTCAACTAGTTAATTATTAAAAAAATTTACCCTTAATTTATATGACAGTTTTGAAGGGTTATCGTTCTTTTTATTCAGCGCAGCAGGTGAAAAATTTGGAAATTAAATAGCCAGATTTTTTGTATTTAAAGCATTTTTAACTGTATTTATTTTAAAATTTTATATTTAGAGATATGTTTATTTTGATTTTTTATTGTAATATTTTATGATAGTTATTTGAATTAAAACAATTTAAATATGTATTAAATAATTTAAAAAAATCTTATAACTATTCATAGTTTTTTAAAAGAAAAAACATTTTTTGATTATGGTCGAGCGCAAAAGACAATTGTAAAATCAAAACTTCACTAGAAACGTGAAAAAAGGAAAAAAATTTACTTCTATTCTTTATCAATGTCATATATTTTAAAAGACATTTAGCTCAAAAATAAGCAAGTAATAAATATAATAAAAAGATTTTATTATGGTAAAAATAATAATAAAATCATTTATAAATATAAAATATGTATATTTGATTGTTTATTATTTTTCCTTTAACTCGACCTTGAAATTGTGAACGATTCAAATCAACATGCAATTTTATTTTTCATTTTTCTCTCACTTCTAATTGTTAAGTACAGCTGGAAAAGGAATTAGGTCGAGAAAAGTTAAATATTAATGAAAAAGGGATTTTTCTTAATAGAAAAAATAAATATAAGCTATATTGAAAACAGTATATACAGGGCTTCGATCTCGAATTTTTAAAAATCCGCAATTTTGAACGAAAAAATCCGCATTTGATATGAAAAATCCGCAAAAAATTATCTAACACAAAAGTTGAATTAAAATCACTTTATACGTTATATTTTTTGACTCCAACAATTGAATTGAGCAATTTTTTCCTACTAATGAATATTTTATTAAAATCAGAACAATTAAAGGAATAATTATGTTGACTTGAGCCAGGCCCGTAGCCAGGATTTTTTTCGGGGGATGGGGGGAAACTTTTTCTAAGCCAAATTTTTGGCGCCTTCGGCGCCAAAAATTTTTATTTTTAGCGCCGCGGCGAAAATTTTTTTAATTTTGGAGCTCAAGAAACTAGATTTCATACATTTTCAGCGCCGCAGGCAAAAATTTTGCGGATTTTGGAAGGCCATGAAGATAAAAAATAACATTTTATCCTAAAAACTACAAGAAAATACAAAAAATCCTCTTAATCTTCAAAAGACCACAAAAATCCGCAAATCCGCATTTTTAAAAATAATCCTCATCG